CTGAACATTTTGTTGCAAGAGTGGAGGGAGGACACATTTTTCAAAAGCCAATTCCAAGAAGACATCACTAGTCTCTTCAAATGGAGGCTGGCTGGTCTTTTGTCAGAAATACCCCAGCAGAGCTTGCACTGAGCAGGGGATTGGCCTAGATCACCTCTAATAACTCTATGAGATCTATAACATATGCAATAGGATTCACAAAACTAGGTGAGGAAAAAAAAACCATGAATGGAAAAAAAAAAAATTCAATCCTATCACTTTCAATGATTTGAGAATTTAGCCAGGTGGTAGCATCTAGCCAAAGTGGCTAATCTCAGAACCCAGTTAGATCTGATTAGGATTTTGATGAGAGACTACCAGGAAATCCAGGGCTGGGGTGTGTGGGTGTGTGGCTGGAAAAACATCCTGGATGAAAGCAGTGGCAAAACCTCTTCCTTATTATTGCCAAGCAAACCATGTTTTTCACCAGACATTTGAATTCTAACTGAGCTACAGTTATTCTTACTGTTTCTAAAGACCCCTGTCTTGATCTTGCTCCAAGTTCTGTATAGGATGCTTGTCTCCATCCTTTCAGATCTTATTTTTATTACATGTTATTACTAATATAAGTTTTATAATGGTAATGAATAGCTCAGGGTTGGCATGTTGCACTCTTGGACTTTGCTGAACTTGGAAGCTTGCAGACATTTCATTAATAACTTTCACCCATGAAAAGAGTCACTTTGTGTGAGATGGGTGGCTATATAATTATTTATTGTAAATAAATAATAATAATAACAACCCCAACTAGCTGTCAAAAGGCATGACTTCACTAATGTTACTCCATACAACCTCAGGCATAATTTCAACTGGGAAACTGTGGAAATCTTAGAGCAAGCCAGATAAAAAAATATAAGAGAATTCTTAGAAACATGTAGCAAATATATTGACTCTGTCTATGGACCCATCAAAATATATAACCAAAGATCTAACGTTAGTGTGTTAGCTCAACACCTAGCACATTCATTCCATTGCACAGCAGACAGCCAACACCTAAATAAACTACAGTCATCTCCTTATCAGCCCAGTAACAACCAAAAAACCTACTGTACTTTAGCTGTCATGAAAGGACAACACCCATAACACAAGTATCAACATCACCAGTCCCACAAGAAGCAACCAGTGCACAGATGAGACAGAACCACTGTCTTATCAGCCAACATTAAGGCATCCATTACTTACAAAACAACATCTCCCCACAGGACCATCCCATCCAAATATGTGCAAGGCAGGCAAGAGAGAAGGATATATAACCCCTACCAACCAACAAGCCTCACTTCTCCAAAACTCCTCTATTGATGAGGTTACTTACTAGGGAAATGAAACACCTGTAAGCCAAAAACCAAGCTTAAACAACTCTAACATACCACAATAGTTCTTTTATTAAAACGTCCTTGTATCACAATGATTTTTTTTTTTTGGAGGGGGGGTGCCTTCGAGCCATTGTTGACTACTGGTGACCACTTGGGCTAGTCTCTGCAGTTTTCTTGGCAAGATTTTCAGGAGTGGTTTGCCATTGCTGTCTTCCTGGAGCTGAGAGAAAGTGACTGGCTAAGGTCACTCAGCTGGCTTTGTGTCTAAGGCGGGACTAGAATTCAAAGTTTATATTTAACAGTTTCTCTTTCTTTTTAATATGAGAATTTAGAGGCCTTTAAATTCCCTGGTTCTGAGAGCTTTGAAAGGGCACCAGGCTTTCATTTGGATATCTGATGACATGGCAAGTATCAAGTGTCCAATATATAATCCAATATATAAGGAGAGGTACTTTTGAAGCAATCTGAAGTGGCTGGGCATAAAGACATCAGCAGGGGCAGCTGCAACAGCTTTCAAAGTTTGCAGAAGAGGCAGCTGTTTAATGATTTCAAGAAAGTGGCTTCATTTATGCTCCTGCACTTCATGAAAAGCATCTTTTCAAGGCTTTGCAGAGCCCTACTTTGTATTTATTCTGCTTAAAGTATTGGTTTGCAAATTCTAGCATAATAATTTCTTCTACTGCAGTTTTGGATATTATGCCAAATGCTGGACAATAATGTATTTTCCTACAATTAACCAAACTTTCAATGCATCTCTTGCCATGAAATCACTGTGCTTGGGAAATAGACTCTTGGTAATATACTGTATTGTTTTTGTTGAGACTTTTGTTAGAACTTGATTGTTTACATTCATGTTTAAGTTTCTTTGCTAATTTTGCCTATGTCCAGAGATCCTGGATGGATGGATGGATGGATGGATGGATGGATGGATAGATGGATACATTTAGAATTTCATTCACACCAAGTGTGTTGGCTGCATGTGCCCTGGTTAGCGAACAGTGCATATAGAG